CAAGTCAGGTAGCGTCTCATCTCCAGCCTGTTCTCAGGGGAAGTTGTTGGGTTCTGGAACACACATTTTGTATGCTTCCTTAGTTTGATAAAATGCTGTTTAAGAACAGAGTTCAAATATGAGTATTAGTCTCTGAATATCTTTAAGAAAGAGGCCCATTAAGTAGAGTTGTGACCACAAGTGGTCGTGGGAGCATTAAAAAGTAAACTTTCAAGTAGAAATGGTCCAGGGAAATGGTCAAAGTGAGGTATTGGTACAGACATCTTTCATGGCCCCAAGTGAGAGAAAATCTAGACTATCTAATCAAATGTGTGTATCTGTATTGGCAGTATGCAACTAAAGAGCTTTCCTTTATAGAAATTAATTAAAAAGAAAGAGAAACAGATGTGATTTCTAGTCCTGACTTTGAAATTCTTTTCTGTGTGACTCTAAGCAGGTTATTATTATGTTTTTAACCTCCCAAGAACTTTTTTCTTCCTGTATAAAATGAAATTCATGTAATGGGTGCAGCAAACTAACATGGCACATGTATCCCTGTGTAACAAACCTGCATGTTGTGCACACGTACCCTAGAACTTAAAGTATAATTTTAAAAATTAAATAAATAAAATTCATGGGTAAGACCTGTTGCAGCTCCAACCTTCAGTCAATTAAAAACTTTAAATCTCATTATTATTGAGATTACAGTTGACCTTTGCATTAAATGTAAATTCTTTTACTCCAAATAACTACTGAAATAGAAAAGAAACAAGTCCATTCTCTTTTTTCTCCCAGTGTTTTAGAGATATGGTCTCCTTCTGTTGCCCAGGCTGGTCTCGGACTCCTGACCGCAAGCAGTCCTCCTGCCTCATCCTCCCTAGTAGCTGGGATCACAGGCGGGAACTACCATGTTGGACAGAAAAGAAACAAGTCATTCTTAAACAATTCTGACTCTAGCAACCTGTCGTGTGATTTGTGATAGAAACATTTGAGCTGGAGGTCAAATCATAAGACATTTTTATCTTATAACTTTCAAATTCATATCTTTTTAAGTAATAAAAATTGTAACAATGCAGAAACAGTTTCCACCCCTTGCAGCAGAAAAATGAGATTGGCATTTCATTTTAAATGGGATACTTCTGCTTCCATGAGCATCATAAAGGTTATGACCTTACAGTAGTGTTGCCTGACACTTAGGTGGCTCACTGGGAATCCCGAATCAGTTCTGGAAACTGCATATATTTTTATTTCTTCTTTTTTTTTCCCCTTTGGTGCAACTTCATATTTTCATTTTGATCAGCAACAAGGAGAAGAAAACTGTGTGTACTCTAAGGAAAATGTATATTGTAAGATGTTTTCTCTGGCTAAGGTCTTTTCAGATTCAGAAATTTGAACTGGCCAGGTGTGGTGGCCCACACCTATAATCCTAGCACTTTGGGAGGCTGAGATGGGCAGATGACCTGAGGTCAGGAGTTAGAGACCAGCCTGGCCAACATGGCGAAACCCCATCTCTACTAAAAATACAAAAATTAGCCAGGTGTGGTGGTGTGTGCCTGTAATCCCAGCTACCCAGGAAGCCAAGGCAGGAGAATCACTGGAACCTGGGAGGTGGAGGCTGCAGTGAGCTGAGATCGTGCCACTGCACTCCAGTCTAAGCGACAGAGCGAGATTCCATCTCAAAATAAATAAATAAATAAAAATAAAGAGAAAAGAAATTTGAACCATGTTTAAAAGGAGAACACTTCAGGTAATCCCTTTCCTCAAACTTACTTTATTCCAGGAATGTTGTGCAAGTATATTTTACACATGGGCTTATATGAAGTTTCAGTCTCTTGAATAGCTGGTCTTCTCTTATGAGTAATTCATAACTGCTTTCACATGTGTATAATCTCATGCTCAACTGTTTCTCTCTATTTTAAGCAGGAGATTTAAAAATCAAATTAACACATATTTCTAGAGCATTTGCTATAAGTGATATGCTGTGCTATATACTAACTAACTACATTTCTGGGTTGATTGGGGGACCAGTTTATAGAACTGGCTGACAAGCAACTGAACTTTAAAACAAATAGCTAGTGCTTAAGTATATGTCAAGTTCAATCCCTCCCATTTTTAAAACTTTGCTGAATTTATATTAAACCAGCATCGGTTATCAAGGTGTTTCCTCCTTGTTTTTAGCTAAAACTTCTCTCACTGCATTAAAATACATCCATTATCATTTTCGTTAAATAAGATAACACATTGGATATGTGCATAAAAGCAAAATTTTATCTTGCATTTTTGTTACATTTGCCAGAAGAATGAAAAACAAACAACAGAAAATCTCTCTGAGCTGTGCTGCTCTATGCCCTGAACTTAACTGTCATAGTGAATATTAATGAGACACAGCAAAGATATTGGCTTAAGGTAACTAAAGCCCAACATATATGGCTGTAGTAAAGTTAAGAAATGGCCATTCATCCACATAACTCAGATTACTGCTGTATAAAGATAATGTTTCTTTTGGTTTTTCTTCTTTTTGTCACACACACACACACACACCCACAACTCCACACACACACCACACATACCCCCCCCACACACAGTAATTTAACATTCATTTGTCTTTTACTCAGACTGGTAAAACCCATGTCTCAAAAGATGTTTCCCATAGTTTTATTCCTCCCTCTCCCATGTCGTTTTCATTTGGAATGCATTTGTTTAACAATGTCTGCCTGGTGTGCAAGGCATGCTTGGTATGACTACTGGGATTAACTAGCCAGATGGATGCAGACACAAGTGCCATGGCCTTTATGGAGCCTGCACGTTCTGGTGGTTGAGTTTAAATCACATTTTTGATAAGAAAACCACAAGATAACTACTGGAACGACTGCCACTTGCCTCGTCCCTTGGGCACTTATTCCAGAGGAGTCCTTCATCGCAAAAGCTCAAACACTTAACACACACAAAAACTGAGAGAAATGGATATGTTCAGTTGAGACTGCTGAAATTCCAAAAAGGCTTGATGAGCATACATGAAGCAAAGCGTTATCTTTCTATCCTGTTTTATGACTAAATATTTATTTTCCAGATGTTCAACTCCATCCCTGATTTCCCCCTATTTAAAATACTACATAGTTGCAGGCATGGTGGGGCTGTCACACAACTTGTAAAATACCAGCACTTTGGGAGGCGAGGTGAGGAAGGATGCTGAGGGCCCAGGAAGTTTGAGACTATGGTGAAGTTAATGATTGCACCATTGCACTCGACCCACAGGAGAGTAAGAGGGTAAAGACCCTGCCTCGTTATCAGAATAATAGAGGAGATAAGTATAATAATAATTTAAAAATAAAATTAGCCAGGCAGTGGGGTGCATGCCACCTGTAAGTCTCAGCTACCTTGAGAAGGCTAAGGTGGGAGAAGTTGCCTTGAGCCCCCAGGACATCAAGGTTGGCTTGCAGTGCCTAGGGATTGCGCCATTGCACTCCCAGGCCTGGAGACAGAGTGAAAACTGACTCTAAAGTAGTATACATATATATACATATGTACTATATGTAAATTAATCTCTTTAATATAAAGTTCAGAGTTCAAGTTAGATAATTGCCTGAGGAGTTCGAAGTGCCACATTGGCGTATGGTGATACTTTTCTAAGGAAGAAAGGGCAACCTACACTTAAACAGTCGACCCTCATTTTTCCTTTGGTTGAAATGTCACACAGCAAAACGTGAACCCATTTGAGAGTCAACAACTCAAAGTTGCATTTGATTGGCAGTGTGTGCGCAACCACCCTTTCCATCTGAGTTCCAAACTTCTCCAGTGGATTTTTATAAAAAGAAGAGCAACTTGTAAAATGGACCCAATAAACTATGATTTGTAGAAAGACCTAATAATTGGTTACTTCATAGGGGGAGTGAGAAATAATAGAATTCTCACAAAAGTAAGCAAACTCACTATAACATAATCGATTTTGGCAATTAAAAAATGCCTCTTTCCATATCGAAATCTCAAATCTTTCATCTTTGGGATCTCATTCTATGTGATCTTCAGTTACAAGAAGGATCTACAAAGTCAATAAAAGAACAAATGTAACCAGAGTAAAGTTGGCCTCATCCGTGTTACACGAATTGAGAACACAGAGGCACAGTCAATAGTCAAGCACTTGAATACAGCATCATCACAAAGTAATGCTTAAAATTAAGTCAAAAGTGTCTGCTCTGAAGAACACTTTTCACTGGGTAGAGAATAATCCAGTCTTGACCTTCCACCTTTAAAGTGGGCCAGAAAAGACATGCACCAGCTTAAGGTAAATCATTTCCATTCATCTCACCCATTATTGCCATCATAAATAATATGTAGAAAGAACCATCAAACAAGCCACATGATTGGTTGCTCGTCTGGGAGAACTTTTCCTGGTTTAGCGCTAGGGAGAAGGAATGGACAAAAGAAAAAATAGTGTAAAGTTTAGCATATTCAGAAACTTTCCCTCCCATTGATAGGTCTGTGGGTTAAGTTGCAGTTTTGCTAGACCCAGGCTAAATCTAAATCAGGCATATTTTGGAACAATCCCAGAGAAAAATTTGATAAGGAAGTGTCCGAAATAGGCCCAATTAAAAGACGGTTGAAAAGAATGGAGGAGTATAGAGGGTAATGGAATAAAGGCCCTGCTGATCTTATTAGAGACCCCCCATAAATCTGTGTAATGCAATCCCAATAAAAAGTAAAACCAAAGCCAAATGTATGTATTGAAATGGGATAGCCCAGCTCTATCGACCAATCAAATACTGATAATCTTTTGCCCGTCAAAGAATTGCATTCCTTCGCCCTTTACCATGGTAATTAAATGATGGACACAATGATGTGATGGTGCCCCAATAGAATGGTTCCAGTTAAGGAATACTCGGGTCTCATGACATTTGGAAAAATGGGAAGGCTCGTCAGGAGGCTAAGACCTAGCTTGAGGGCATGTTTTGGATTGGTGGAGAAGCTGACGAATCCATTGTGTGTACTTAATCTCCCCAAAAGAGCTGCCAGGTTTTAAAGTTAACCTTTAGGGCCTGGGCTATCTTATGAAAATTGATGATTCATAATTCCTCAGCAAATAAATAAATAATTGCCATTTGTATGTAGGGATCTCCCCAAATGAAACAACTGCTGCCATCATTTTTATTTTATGTTAGATACCGTGAAGTAAATTCTACTCTTTTGCCAGCCGTAAAATTTAGGAGCAAGGATAAAGTTTTTCAGTGATAGTATTTTTAGATTTCAGAGAGATAATATTTTAGAGTTATATCGCCAAGATGCAGGAAAAAAGTCAAAGAGAAAATAAATGAGTAATAAGGTCAAAAGCAAAATGATATTTATCATTCTGTTTCATCTGTTGGAGCTACCGTACATTCTTCTGATGATAAAGTAAATAAAAGTAAAGCAGAATGACTAGCTTGAATTCATAGACTAACTTGAATTGAAGTAGCAGAGAAATTCTAGTATTTTTTTATTTGATGATATTACAGGATTTTTTTTCTTGAAGCCAACTTAGAAGGAAGCTGAAATATTATGAAAGTGGATCAGAAATATAAGTAGATTTTACTTTATTCTGCCAAATCCCATTCTATATTACCGTCTCTCTTCTTGATCCAGGTTGGTGTACTAGCATTTACTTTCTTATCCTCTGTAGCAGATTAATTGTGGCTGCAAATTCTTTGCCACTTTCTCCCTCAAAATGTATTTCCTCTGTCCTTGAGTCTGGGCTGGCATGGTGACTTCTTAACCAGTAGGATGCAGGGGAAATAGTTTGTTCTGCTTTCAGGCACAGACCTTTAAGAGTACTGGCAGCTTGTGTTTTCTTCCTCTTGGGGTGCTTTCTCTCACAACCTGGACACCATACTGTGGGAAGCTCAAGCCACAAGGAGAGGCCACAGGTTGCTGCACCATTTCACAGTGCCGGCTGGCATCTAGCAGCAGCTGCCAGTCATCATGTATGGGAGCCATTTTGAATGTTTTCACCTAGTTGCACCTCACCTGCAGCACCAGCTGACGTCAAATGGAGCAGAGAAACCGCTCAGCTGAACCCAGTAAACCTACAGAATAAAATGGCGGTTGCTGTAAGCTGTTTCCGGGCGGTTTGTTTCACAGCAATACATAACTGAAATCGCTTCCCAAAGGAAGTCCTGGAATGAGACCATGGAAGAGCTCATTTGATTTAAATGATAAATAGATAGTATTTAAATGGTCCATGCTTAATTCTTATAATTTCTAAAAATTATTAGGCAAAATTTTAGAAGTCTTATTTTGAAAACTAGATCCTTTTAAGTTTGTTTACAAATTATATTAAGGTAATAATTCCTATTTCATAGTTACCTATTCTGGTTTTCATAGTCTCTTCTTGAAGAGATATGTAATCAATAATATAATCAAACGCACCCTTTTGATAAAAAAACAAAATCAGTATTTCTCAGCAGAAATAGAATGAATCAGAACGTATTCAAATCTTGGCCACATAGCTATATGTCCATGGCAAAATTACCTAAGCTACCTGGGCCAATGAAATATTTTTTTAAAAATTTTAAGATTAGTATGGACTGTATGGGATTAGTGAAGATCAGAAACAATGTGTATTATGAACCTAGCAGAGTGCTTGTTGCCTGGGTGGAACTCAATAAAGGTAGCTTTTGTTATTGTGAGGGAGATGGTGTAAAAGGTTTAAAAAGGTAGTAAAAAATTGTCTAGTTTATTTTTCTAAGAGGACATGGAAATGGGGTATTCCTGCGCTTTACTGGGGTGGAGCTTAAAGGGTTAAAATGCTATATCCTTGCAGTTTTTCCTACAAACGTACATGTTTTATCCAAAGGAAATTCTGACCTCTAACCCCAGTCACACTTTCCTTTCTCACTCTTTTATTGCTATAGAGGATTTGATGAAGGGAGAAAGGCAACTTCTGGGTCCTAGTCCCAAGGGTAGAACTAATGGAGAATTCCTTTTATTCTTCACCTCCCATCCTTCTCCATTTCCCCATTTACATTCATTTTCCAATTTGGTGGAAAAAAACAATTTTATAGGAAGCTGGCTGTCTGCAGACTAATCTTAGCACCAAGGTGCCACAGGGTTTATGGAATGCCTTTCTGGGGGCAAAACAGACACATCCCAAAGTCTGGTTTATGTAGTCCAAGGGAAAGAGTACTTGTGGCAGTCCACAGGATTCTCTCTCTGATGTGTTGTCCTAGTCTTTGTATAAAATGTTGGTTTTCTCTATAAGTGTTGGGTATTTTCAGTGTAACAGCTAGAGCAATGCCCAGTAACTTTTTTTTTTTTCCTTCCCTGCTGAATATGTTTGTTCTTAATGGTTGAGGTAAGGTGAATAATTGCTATTGGTGTAAGTTAAAGACCACTTTTCTAAACTATGGGTTATCATGCTTGGTATTTTCTCCTATCTGCCTGACTTGGGGCCACCTGAACCCCATTTTGGTCTTTGAAATTTAACTGACCTTGGCCTTGGATGAAATGCTAGTGTACTGAGTATAATATTTTTGGTTTAGGTCAAAATTGAGGAATTCAGTGCCATATATTTCAATTGGGTACTTTTTGAAGAAATTATAAATTACCGTAGTTTAGCATAAACACCTGCTGATATTGTTTCTGAATATTTACATGAATATTGATCATTGAGATCTTACTGTCTTTCAGTGTGAATGCTTTAAGTGCTTCAGTAGACATTTTCTACACTGTGAAATTGTATGTCCATTGCTAGAATCTTTGTAAGAGAGCTCTCACCGCTTTAAAGTCAAATAAACCTAGAAAATAAGCATAGGAATTATTTTTAAACACCATTTACTGGTATATAAATGCAGATTATAGAGAGATGAACTTAAGGATAACTCATGTTGCCCATAAAGTTGTCATAGTCATGGTTACAATTATGCAAATTGGCACAGGCTTTTGTTGTTGTTATAGTACTGCAAACACAGTTTAAGATGTTAAGACCCTTTAAATCATTTATAATTATGGACTAATTTCATCTTGAAGGAAGAAGTGATAATATTCTTATCTCCTGTCATTTGAAGCTGAAACGTACCTCAAAGCAGTGGAGATTGTGCCCTACAAAATACAACATGCTTAAAGCAGATTTTCTCAGGAGTTGAGTTCTAAATTTCACTGCTTCAGGGACTCATATGATGGCTATGTAGTATAGATTTAGAGAGAGTTTTAAAGACTCCTGTTGACATAGGTAAACAGAATGGTTCCTTGGAAACCGTTTAGATGTCCAGTCACAGTAAGTGTGCATTACAGGTTCAGATGCATATTGTGTGAAGTGACATGGAGCAGAGTGCTTGGAGAAGCCTGTGGTCTGTATTATGAACAGTGCTTTCTTCTAGTGTTTTAATGACTGTTGTTTTAAAAGAAAAAAAAATCAGCATTGAAACTATCTGGAAGGTAAAGCTCCTGAAACCTAACCCAAAAGGCATGCTCTCATCGAAAACTCTTCTTAGTACTTGCAGTGCGGTGATAGCTGAGGACATGTGGTATATATTACAGTGCCAGGGAATTCAGACCTCTGCAGTGTGGAGTCACCATGAAAGGCTAATCTAAAAATGAAGTGGTAGCTTTGCTCGCATCATAACTCTGTTACTTACTGGTGCTTCCTATTAGCTTGACATTAGTCTAGTCTTCTTTGGCTGAGATAGAAGAAATGGAAATTCAAAGGGGACCACAGCAGGGGATATATGGGCTGCCAACCCCTCCCCTAGCACTCCCTCCAGCCTGTACTCAGCATTTCTCTCTGGGCATGACAAAGTCTTACAGAGTCATTGCAAAAAGGGCTAAAGGCAGAGCTGTCCATGGTTAGGAAAAAAACGTTCAAACTGTTGGTCGAAAATCAGGTAATAACAGTCCTCTTAGTGAACAAAACTTATTAGAGGGCTAGGGAAGGAATGCTATCTCTCAGCAGCAGGCAGGAAGAAATTGCTGTTGAAAAGCTTACCTCTCTAGGGAGGAATCAGATAGCAGACTTCGCCAAGCCTCAGGTCCAACCCATAAGGTCCCACCTACACCCCCCCGCCCCCCTCCCCATCCCAGCTTTGTTAGATTGCTAGCATCGATCGCTGGCTTTTTCTGACCCAACAGTGGGTGAAGGAAAGAGACTGAAAGCCGGCAAGGTGGGGGTAGAAGAAGACTGGGACAGCTTTTGTAGAGAAAGAAAGAAAAAGGAGGAAAACGGGTGGGGGCCATGGGGACTAGGCTTAACTGATGCCTGCATGCCTCTTTTTGATTTGATGGCCTTTATTCCTTCTAATTGGATAAAATAGGAAGTCACTGGCAGTCCTGTGTGGCTGGGGATACTGATTTTACTCAGACCAGCCTGCAGCTCTAGAGTGTGGATAGAGAGTGGGGAGTGGGGGTTGGGAGAGTGGGAGGAAAGAGAGAGAGGAGAGAGAGAGGACGGGCTTGGATGAAGAAGGGAAAGAAAGAGAGAGACTGAAGCAGAGAAGAGCCGCAGAGGAAGAAAGTGAATGAGCACTCAAGAAGGACAAAGAGGAGTAGTCGGGGGTGGGGTGGAGGCAGGGCGGGGAAGGGAGTGACCGCCCCTCCTGGCTGCACTCTTGCCTCCGGAGCCCTCTGATCCTGTTTGCAGTGATGCTCCGAGGGCAGGCACCTGCTGCTCTGTAATGATTCAGCCCCTTTCAGCCGTCGTCGCGTTAACACAACAGGATGCTGTTGCTATTGTCACTACTGCCTCTCCTGCCGCCGCCGCTGCTGCCGCCGCCGCCACCGCCGCTGGTCCTCCTTCTGCTTTTACTTCTCCTGCATGACAGTTGTTTTCTTCATCTGAGCAGACACCAGCTTCAGATGCTCGAGGTGAGAAACATGCCTTTCAGTTTGGGCTACTGGTTTACTTAATTAACCAGCCAGCAGCTCCGTCGATCTATTTTGGTCCCTGTCCTCTTGACGAGCCCGGGATGGTTTGGAGTAACGTTTAAAAGAACTAGAAAAGTGGCCCAGAAACAGCAGTTTAAAGAATTATAACGATATACTCTGATTTTGTAGTTGCTAGGAGCTTTTCTTTCCCCCTTGCATCTTCCTGAACTCTTCTTGATTTTGATAATGGCCTTGGACTTGGACGATTTATCGATTTCCCCCTGTAAGATGCTGTATCATTTGGTTGGGGGGGCCTCTGCGTGGTAATGGACCATGAGAGCGGCCAGGCCTTCTTCTGGAGGTGAGCCGATGGAGATTTATTCCCCAGACATGTCTGAGGTCGCCGCCGAGAGGTCCTCTAGCCCCTCCACTCAGCTGAGTGCAGACCCATCTCTTGATGGGCTTCCGGCAGCAGAAGACATGCCAGAGCCCCAGACTGAAGATGGGAGAACCCCTGGACTCGTGGGCCTGGCCGTACCCTGCTGTGTGTGCCTAGAAGCTGAGCGCCTGAGAGGTTGCCTCAACTCAGAGAAAATCTGCATTGTCCCCATCCTGGCTTGTCTGGTCAGCCTCTGCCTCTGCATTGCCGGCCTCAAGTGGGTATTCGTGGACAAGATCTTTGAGTATGACTCTCCTACTCACCTTGACCCTGGGGGATTAGGCCAGGACCCTATTATTTCTCTGGACCCAACTGCTGCCTCAGCTGTGTGGGTGTCGTCTGAGGCATATACTTCACCTGTCTCTAGGGCTCAATCTGAAAGCAAGGTTCAAGTTACAGTGCAAGGTGACAAGGCTGTTGTCTCCTTTGAACCATCAGCGGCACCGACACCGAAGAATCGTATTTTTGCCTTTTCTTTCTTGCCGTCCACTGCACCATCCTTCCCTTCACCCACCCGGAACCCTGAGGTGAGAACGCCCAAGTCAGCAACTCAGCCACAAACAACAGAAACTAATCTCCAAACTGCTCCTAAACTTTGTAAGTAGAGAGAGAGAGAGAGAGATGATGATGATGATGATGATGATGGTGATGATGATGATGATGATGAAGAATAAAGGAAAGGGGTGGGTTTGAGGTCCCCAAAGGATGTTTCCCTTTCTTCTTGCATTTTAGTTGCCTGGTTTTGTTTAAGCAAAGCATGTGTTTGAGACACTTGGGCTGGCATTGAAGGGCTGAGTAAAATGATGTTGCAAACTCCGGGTCTGAACCAGTGTTGTGACAGCAGCTCTCTCTAGCCACATTGTTCAGTCTGGTACCGGGAATGCAAAACTTCAGCATCTGCAAGTCATGCTTGAATTTAAGTTAAATTCAATTTATTTCTAACACATTTTAAAATTGAAACATCAGGCCATCTTTTCATGTTTTATAGAAATGTGACTTTCATATACCAGTATTATTTTGTGTCTTTCTCTTCCCCATCATAGATTTCCTGTCACCTTTCTGTTACCCTCTACCTCTCAGCAACCCCAAGCTGCTTGTTGTCTTTCTCTCCCTTCTTCCTGTTCTCTAACCACCTCTCCCTACTTTTGTATCTTAATTGGTTCTTTCTGAGATTGCAGTGAGTCTTAAGACATTTACGGTGCTCGCCTCTCACTAGCTTGAGATGACTACTGTCCTGCCCAGACTGTACTTTCAGTTAGTGAGCACTTAGTAACGGCAGCTTTATTTTGTCTAGGACACAGTAGGATTCTGCATGAAGGATTTGCCCAAATTAGTTTTGTCTTCTATAATCAAATGTTTAAATAGCTTCCTTGGCAGTCATTAAAAAGTACAAGATCCATTAGTGAGGTACATCTTTTTTTTTTTTTTTCTTTTTAAGGCATGTGTCATCTTAGTCTGGCAGATCGCAGCAGCCCAGTTTAATAACCTGTGATGTGAAGAGAGCCCACGCTCTTAAAAACAATACATTTCTGTTTGCATTTGCGTTGGGTAACTGCAATAGCTTTAGAGTGGAAAGTTGACAGGAATGAAAGCATGACTGTTCTAAACATCAATATAGAAGGGAGGAGTTTTCTATAGCCTTTTAAAAATGTTTCTAGTTTATTTTTGTTGTCTCTATCTCCTATCACTTTTTACCATGAGGAATATTTACTTAGTAGGAAAGTACAAGATCAGAAAATTTGGTTCTTAATAACTTACATGAAAGCTCTTAGGGTTAAAAGAGAGTTGACAATTTCTCTGACGAAATGCCTCTTTTGTTTTTCCTCTGGACAGTAATGAAGAATAAAGAGTACCTTTTCCAGACGTCACGTTCAATGTGAAGTAGTGCAGCATGCTATAGAAACACAGAAAAACTTGATTTGTGCTTGTAACTCCTAATCATTTCACACACACCAGATTCAATGGCAAAGATTTAAAGAAAAAAAAAAAGAGTCTTGTTTTCTAGGTGCAATTAGGGAAAACCTCCTTCATGCAGACACTGCTTTGTATCTTTATCAAATCCCTGAAGCATCATTAAAGGTCTGACAGACATCACCGCCTTTGCTGCCTCTTCCCACCTGGCAAAGTGACCGGGAAATAATACCCAGATGAAATGACATGCTATAAAAAGCAAGTACAGATCCTGCAAAGAGAAGCGAAATTCATCAGGAGAACAAGGTTACTTGATCATTTTAAACTTAAGTCTTTAATTGAAATCTGTTTAAACAGGTTTCATTGTCCAGAGAAACAAAAAAACGCCCTTTGAAAAACACTTCAACCAAATTCTATAATTTTGTCATCTGAGGAAATCAAGAAAAGAAACATCTAGCACATTTTCCTGATCTAAGACCATGTCAGAAAGTATGTTGTAAAGTTTTGATAAATTATTTTGTAAAGTAAATTTTTCTACTAAGTGTTTTAGTAGATTACATATTCCTTATCAGTTTTTTTTTTCCAAGCCAGGGCATTGATATTGTGGCATCTGCAATAAATGGGAAAGATTTACTGCTGCCTAAAAGCATCATTGTGGCCAGTTTGACCAGATGCACAGCTGCAACGTTTTGAAGCGCATGGGAGATAAGCCTAGAGAAGCAGTCTGGGAAGTAGTTTTCTCCTGAAAAGTTAGGGGTAGACAGTTAGTTAGCTAACACTTTAAAACCTGTAGGGAGACTCTGTTAATTTTTTTGGACTAGTCCCTTAAAAAAAAAAAAAAAACAAGTATTGTATTCTAAAAATTGTGAGCCTACTTTTTGTGGGGCAGGGGGTCGGTTGGGGGTATTGGTTTGGGGGGAGTAGTGTTTGAAAGGGATTGGTCCAGGCAGCTTTGTTTCTAGAGACTTGTAAGTGGTTGTTTTTGTTGTTGTTTAAAAAGGTTGTAACCATTAATTAATGGAAAGGGGGAAAAAAAGCTTACAAAGGGATTGTATTTTTCAACTAAGAAAGTATTGTTTAGTCGCAGAAAGAACTGGGACGTTCCTTTTACCGTGCATGTTTTTGACATAAACTAAGCTGTCATGGCTTATATTTGAAAATGACATTATCGTATGTGAAACATGCTCTTCAGTGGTTTTAGGACTTTATTCTCCCTTTTCCTTTTTTTTTTTTTTTTTTCTGTCTCAGCATATTCAGCACATTATGCACAGAGCTGTAGCCTTCAAGGTCATAGACTGTTGAGGGCTAATTGATTCTTCTTTATCCTGGAGCCTGAGAGAGTAGAAGAGAGACAATCCCAGTAATTGTGTCTGCAGCGTTGCTCCCCAAACCAATCTACCTACTAGTATTAAAGTTTTATTTTATAAATACTGGAATTACTCCCTCACTGACTCTTGTAAAATTACAACATTCTTTGTCTTTGTTATAATATAAGGCAAAATATGACATTTTAAATTGCCTTAAGGTATAGTGGCTATGTCGGATTTTCTAAAATGGGTATTTCTTTCATAAAGTAATATTTCATATTTTCATGATATTAATCTATGCATTCATGTAGGTCTTAAGAAGTCCAGTGAAGAATTGGAATGAAAGTATATAATTATATATTTTTTATTCTAAAGTATTTCTAAGTATGGTTAATGGTTTCCCACTACCACAATGATTATATTGTCATGATACTAATTAAGTTTTTACTTCTCAGTGGGTTATGTAATACTTGCACTATTCATTTGTTTTCTTTGCCTGGGCTTTAAAATTTTTCCTACCCTGACTGTTGGGAGATTGCAAACTTAGATTATTATAAAAAGAGCTGATTAATTAAATTGTAGCCAGGAAATAGTGGTACCATCTGAAAGAAAATGTTTTCTGGATGTGAGATCCTCCCTGCTTGACAACAGATTCTTGGATGCAAGAATGTGTTGGTATTTTCATCTTGGGCCAACTTTGTTTTGCTTTGTCCTAAGTCGTCTTATGGGATTGTATGACAAAGCATTGTTACCGCATGACAATAAGAATCAGTAACCATTTGCAAAAGATCAACATGATGAATTGGATATACCGTAGGATTTATTTCCTTCTATTTAAAAATGCCATTCATTTAAATTCTAATGGATCCTTCTAGTTCTTGGCAACTATATTTGTAGGTATTTCAGAACAGTGATTTCAAATAACTTTTCCCCACTTTAATAGTTGCCAATTACAGCCTAAAATATTAAAAACTGGAAGAGACTGAAAGATTTTCTATTGGAACTGAATAATTTTATAAATTTACTGGTGAAGAAACCCAGGCTCAGAAATGCCTAGTGAAATTCTTTTATTAAAATATACTAAACTCTGAAAAATGTGGCAAAATCCAAACTTTTAGATTGTCTCTGTCTCTGAGAATTTAAACACTCTCTCTCTCTCTCTCTCTCTCTCTCTCTACTGTTTTCTTCTCTCATCATATCCTTATTGTAGAGAGTTGGAGCTAGAGACTAACATAGCATCAGACTGAGAATTAGGGAAGTACTTAAAGTGGGAACACTGTTTAGGCGTGTGTTTAGTGCATATCACTAAAACTAAATTTTCTTCTCGCCTTCCTGTTTTGCTCTTATTGAATTTTCAGTCATGGTGGTCTTTTCCCTTTTTATTTGATCATCCATACAGTGTTCAGCTTGCTTCTGAAAACAGCATGGGTTGCCTAGGGTGAGTTCTTCCCTCATATATAGGAGATTGCTCTATGGCTCACTTCTTTTCTTTTTATTTATTTATTTATTTATTTATTATTATTATACTTTAAGTTCTAGGGTACATGTGCATAACGTGCAGGTTTGTTACATATGTATACTTGTGCCATGTTGCTGTGCTGCACCCATTAACTCGTCAGCACCCATCAACTCGTCATTTACATCAGGTATAACTCCCAATGCAATCCCTCCCCCCTCCCCGCTCCCCATGATAGGCCCCGGTGTGTGATGTCCCCCTTCCCGAGTCCAAGTGATCTCATTGTTCAGTTCCCACCTATGAGTGAGAACATGCGGTGTTTGGTTTTCTGTTCTTGTGATAGTTTGCTGAGAATGATGGTTTCCAGCTGCATCCATGTCCCTACAAAGGACACAAACTCATCCTTTTTTATGGCTGCTTAGTATTCCATGGTGTATATTTGCCACATTTTCTTAATCCAGTCTGTCACTGATGGACATTTGGGTTGATTCCAAGTCTTTGCTATTGTGAATAGTGCCGCAATAAACATATGTGTGCATGTGTCTTTATAGCAGCATGATTTATAATCCTTTGGGTATATACCCAGTAATGGGATGGCTGGGTCATATGGTACTTCTAGTTCTAGATCCTTGAGGAATCGCCATTCTGTTTTCCATAATGGTTGAACTAGTTTACAATCCCACCAACGGTTGAACTAGTTTACAATCCCACCAACAGTGTAAAAGTGTTCCTATTTCTCCACATCCTCTCCAGCACCTGTTGTTTCCTGACTTTTTAATGATTGCCATTCTAACTGGTGTGAGATGGTATCTCATTTCTTCATAGCCCATTTTGTTTTCTCCTCTCTATTCCTTTGTGATACCCAACTCAGTCTTCTCCCCTTTCCTTCCTACTTTACCAATTACATATTGACTCGTTTTTAT